TATTTAATCTTGCCTAGTTTGTGTGTGGGAATTTCAATCTGAATTCAAGAATTTAAATCTGAATTTAGACTTGCTCTTAAAGCTATAATTTTTTTAATGACATTTTAGTCTAATGCCTTTAATGCCCGGAAATGTCATTATACGTGGATAGGGGTTCTTCCCCTATTATGACCAGCTCAAAACCATACTGAAATAGTTCAGAATTAGGAAGTGTCCCAAGCGTCACATGACGACATTTCCGGGCATGGGTTTCTATACAGTTTCAATCATGATGATATGCTCTAGCTTCTCTAGAAATTCGCCGCAACATTTATGCGATCCCCTCTTATATATAACGTTTTTAAACTTGTACATTTCGACAAAAAATAGACATTAAAATTTTAATTAAAAGAAACATTAAATATTATTTTTAAAAAGAAGCTATCGGATTTCAGTCGGATTTTTAATTAATTTTTATCACAAGATTAAACAAACAAAAAGCCCTATAAATTACGCCGATATTTTTTTAATTATGCTATTATTTTTTAAAATTATGCGGGCAGTCTGAGGCTGATCTAAAAAGTAAGTAGAACAGAAAAAAATTTCAATTTTAATAAAAAAAATTATTCTTTTCATTGTTTAAATTGAAACTTTTTTTCTAGAAAAAAATTTATGGTCAAAAAATCTAAAATAATAATGTAAAATTTACCTGTTTCTCGCTCTATGGGAACACCAAAAAGATCAGTACATTTTTACCGAGGTGCTTCGGTAATGATTTTGGCAAAATTAACTATAAAATATGGTTATATAATTTTTGATGAAATTTTGTAAACGGAATAAAATTTGATAATTTTATCATGATAATGTAGAGCATCGCATAAAAACAATTTATGCGGTTGAATTTATTCGTATTATTAGAATTGTCGGTAATTATTAAAATTACCGGTGCTTGTAGAAAACTCATCGACATATGATTGCTTTCAACTGAATAGATTAAACTCTCTAAGCTATTTTATTACCTAAGTTGAAAAGCCGACTCAATTTTCGGTTTACGACTACTGATGTTAAACTCCGTAGCCTCGTAATTATGAACGCAATCCAGGTGACAGGAGAACTCTTGGATCGAATATTGAGAGAGATTTGCCTTCGTGGAGGACTTTTTGATGGAGCTAACCCGCATTTGCGTTACATGGAGAGGAAGACCACGAGAACCTTAGCCTGGCGGCAAGGGGATTCTAACCCATGATCCGTCTACCACTAAGGATATTTCACGTCAGTACTGTGGTTGGTACAACCCGGATGCAGAATTCGTATCGACTGGGATTCGAACCCGATGCGCCTCATTGGAAGGCGAATGCTCTATCCCCTGAGCCTTCGCGGCTCATCTGTCCACCAATAGAATGAGCTGGAAAACTTTAATGATAGAAGCCCTACGCTGCAATTCGGAGTGAATAGGAATATAAATATGTATCTCTTTTTTACGGCCATCTAGTCTAGACTTAACCTATTAGTAAAACAAAATTGCCTAGTAATCAAATTTTTTTTTTTTATTTCATTTTACCAGTCATCATTTTTTGAGAATCTAAAAATTTAGCAGCACTGTTAACTATTTAAAGAGAAAAATATTGAGCTGGCAAACTAAAAACTAAAAGCATCAAATAAAGATTATTTCTTGGGAATCACCTTAAAATTTAGTGGCCCTGCTAATTACTTAAACTAGTAAAATATTGAGCAAAAAAATTTAAAAAAACACGAATATCAAATAACAAAAATTAGTTTCTATTTTTTGTAGTTTTACAACATTAATATATTTTATATTTTTCAAATAAAAAAAGAAGAAATTAAAGTCGGAGATATTATTATCGTGTTTAAATATATCTACTGCAAGATAACAATCTGATTTCTGAAAATTAAATATTGAATTCTGATAAAGTTGTTTTTCTGAAAGTGAATTAGGGCGTAGCAATAAAAGAAATTTTGTTAAATGAAAAAGTACTGAGAATCAACACATGGTGTATAATATCTTTACTTATATATCATGAGAATAATCAGATGAAAGCATCATGTTTTAGATTGAATATTAAGAAACAAACTTAATCTTTTGACTTCGTTGAAGTGATAAAAACGTGATAAGATGAATTCATCTTTCTACTTTAAAATTCCGGAAACAAATTTTTCACGAACTAACTGCAATAGTTATAATAAAATTCACTTTTTTAGAATTCCATTGAATCACAAGCCTAAAATCGGTTTGAAGATTTTATTACAGTAAAATCTGTTATTATTTTCACAGAAAATTGTACTGAGGGTTAATAATTGTGTTAACAAATCTTAGCATATTTAAAATAAAAACTTATTTGGCTTCATTAATAGAAGAGGAAAAAAGATGGAGAGATTTTGAACGCTCAAACTAGACGCTCCAGGTCGGGATGATAAGTGAATGGTAAGACTGGTGAATGTTAACAATTCATTTCATACTTAAAAAAAAATTTATTTGGCTTCTTTAATAGAAGAGGAAAAAGATTGAAAGATTTCGAGCGTTCAAACTAGACGCTCTATGTGCACTTTAGCATCCAAATAGAGTCTCGGTGCTGCCATCTAGTGTGGCAGAAACTAGACGTCCAAATTAACATGACCAACGGTATCTCACCCATTGTGGTAGTCTCTGAAAGAGTGGATACCACCTCTGGAGAACGCAGTAGGTCTGCTCATCGGCAAGAGCGATTGTGCAGCTCATTGGAAATAATAATAAAAAAAATTTAAAAAAAAAAAATTTCAAAATCAGTTTCAAAGCGTAATTTTCCTGACTGATTTGGACTTTTGACAATCAAAATATCGAGAAAAGCCACAAACAAATTATTATTAAAAAAAAAAAAAAAAAAAAAATTAACATATTATTTTATAAATTTTCATTGGGTAAACGTTTTTTATAAATGTGTGCAAACATCTTTTGTATCTTAAAAAGTTCTCGAAATATAGCGAAATAGACAAACAATAAAAGTAATATTAAATTGTCTAAACTTTTGATCATTTTCTTGATCAAACTACTGGCACCATATCTTCTAAATAGCAGCTACGAAGCTGCGATGGCTCAGGGGATAGAACGTTCGCCTTCCAATGAGGTGAACCTGGGTTCGATCCCGGCGATGACTGGTCGATACGAATTCCGCATCCGGCTTGCACCGGCCACAGTTCTGACGTGAAATATCCTCAGTGGTAGACGGATCATGGGTTAGAATCCCCTTGCCGTCAGGCTAACCGTGGGAGGTTCTCGTGGTCTTCCTCTCCATGTAACGCAAATGC